GGAGAGGTTGAGGCCTAAAATTGACACCTTGAATGTTGAAGTAACAATATTAGCACATAATTTAGTTAATATTGGTCAGTTTCAAGTATTGATGATACAAGTTTTTGAAGCTTCAGAATGGATAAGTTAGTATGAGCACCAGTTGGAATTGAGAGATGCCTAGATTTTAAAATTAGAAGCTCAAGTCCATGAATTGGAAGAGTACAATGAAGATTTTTCAGCCCAATTGAGGAAGAATCGATGAAACGATTAGAAGAAGATGAAAGTTTGCCTTTGGAACCAAAATCAGTAGAACCAACAATGGATAATGCGGAAGTTGATTAATTGGATGGGCCAGGAGGATAGCAATATTGTAGAGTTTTGTTAAGTAGTTTTTTTTTAGATATGTATCAATTCTATGTTTGAAAAGATGCCGCACAGTTAAGAGTGGAGCTATATAGAATGGATAGAAATTTATTTTTATAAGATATTGGTAAAGTAGATTAATCATTCCTAAGGTAGTCAATTCAATAGGTTAGATGATTGAATTAGTTATGAAAAAATAGTTAAGTAGGAAATGAAAATTAAAATCTGGAATTTCATGGGTAAGTATGTAGCACTTGAAGAAGATATTAGAGGGGCCAGACTATAATAGTCATGAGCAGGAATAAGCTTGGTGCTATCTCTTGTTTCTTGTTTATTTTGTTGTTTTAGGTTTTGATCATTGTAAAGTGAATTTGTGGAATAAATCAAAGATTGTTTTATAAGATATTGAGTATGTAATTGGAGTACTATGTGATTGAATTATTATGAGAAGATATTGGGAGTTTTTTTATCAGATTTTGTGGAAGATTGTTCATGGATGGAAGATTATGATTTTTTTTTATTGAGAGTTGTGTATGTTTCAATAAAAGAAGTCTTTAATTACAAAAATTGTATGAAGCCAGATTGATTGGAATGGAAGTCTGTTATTTTTGGTATTGGATGGAACTTATGTATTTTGAGTGGTCTTTTGAGAGTGCCGGGTTGCACTTTGTTGTTAATAGTTGATGAAGGAGTATTGTTAATAAGAGAAAGTATTGTAGTATTCTTTGGTGTTTTTATTTGTTCAAAATACTATTAATTGTGTGACCCTAACGTATAAGCTCATGCGGTTAGTCTTTCATTGTATTTGAATCCTCCTTTACATGTTTATTCTGAAAAAAATTATAGGATAAATAAAATGACAATCACAAACATTCTTATAACTTTGTTAAAAAAAAATGATTTCAATCAAAAAAGACTAAAGTGTGTAAAAAATAAATAAAAAATAAATAAAATAATTATTATTAAAGTGGTTATTTTGAAGAAACATAAGGGCTTAAAAGCCATAAAAAAATAACTCAAGAAATAAATTGATTAGATTAAGGATTGCCTTGATCTTGTATCTACTTATGCTATTTGTATGGCCAAAGGATTATTAACTATTCTTTAATATTTTGCCACATAAATTATAAAAAACCTTTTAAAAAACTTTTAATGATGCTCAGTGTCTATGCTATTCTAGAAACTTCTTATACAACCTCTTAATTTAGTCTGATACTTAAGCTATTTTAAAAGCTTCTCAAATACATTGCCTAATATAGTTGATTCTAAAACTATCTAAACGACATATTTGTTAAATTTCTTAAATATTCTAAAAAAACCTACTAGTTTATAAAAAAAATAAATATTTTTTTTAAAAAAAAATTATGGTATTTATAAATATAAAAAATATCCAAAAAAATATGAAAAAAATCAAATTTTAAGAATTAAAATTTTATTTTTAAGTTTTGAAAAAATTAAATTTTTATTTTTTTTCCAATGCACATGGTTAATATACCTAACAAAGAAAATATATTGCAAGTGGAATATAATAAGTGAATTATACTTATATCATATATATGGATTTAATCTAAAATATTCTTATTTTTACATTTAGAAAAAATTATACATAAACTACAAATTTCTTTGCAATTAAATTTCTTCAAAGTAATTGGAGTTAAAGATGAAGAACCATAATTTTTTAATGTTTTAATATTATGTTATTAGATCTTTAATGTGCCTAATATATTTTAAAAAATATTTTGTTAATAGTATTTTATTTTAGATTTTATTTTATTTTAAATAAAAATATTTTCAAAATTTTATATTTAAATTTAAAATATATACTAAAATAATTAAATTCGTTAAAAATTTAAATCCTAAAAATAAAACAGAGTTTAGATTGTAGAATTTTTTTTATAACTATATAGAATGAAAATTTGTAAATATTACCAAAATATATACAGTTATATGGTTATTATTTTTAAAATATAATTACATACTAGAAATAAAATCTAAATCATATAACATAAAAGAATAATAAATAAGTAAAGTGATGTAATTTTTTATATTTCTTTAACCAATTTATAAAACTTAGTAATTTTTTTAATATATAATGTTATTAATTTAAATTAAAAATTGTTGCTTTAAAGACGTGTCTGAAAATTTTGATTCTCTATTAAATTAAAAACATAATTAGTTAACTTTTTAACTAAGAAAAACTAAGAATTTATTTTATTTCTATATTTTGTTTCTTGAAATCCCTACATCTAGTCTATTGACATCCTTGCATTAAATAGAGCAAAGTAATAGGAATATAATGCTTTCTAGTAAAGGCACCTTAAAGCTTGAAATTGATAAACTAAGATTAATATTTTTGCAAGAAAAATTGTGGTATGAATTAAAATCTTAGCTTTTTGCATTAAGGGCTAGAGTCATATCATTGTATAATAAATTCTATTTGCAATGCATTGTAATGTGTTGATTTTTGACATTACTATGGCTACTCTCATCTGTTGACTTTTTCAAGAGATCCTTATCCTATCCATGCTAGAATACTAATTATAATCCTAAGTCCCACTTTATACCACAAAAAACTTATTAGATTATGAAAAAAAAATTACAAAAATATATATATATATATATATATATATATACACATAAAAATATTAACCAAAGAGGTGCACAAATGAATACTTTAGATCAGTCATATTTTAGAATTATTGCTAAAGAAAATAAAAAATAAAAAATTCTTACAAAATATACAAAATAAGTTACTAAAATTAGAATAAATCAATGCTCAATATTATATACAAATATTTCTTATTTCTTCTAAAGAACATAAGTGTAATTTTAATTTTAATTTATAACTACATACATATATTAATTTTTAAATTTTTAATATTATTTAATAGATTTAAAATTAAATTATATATAACTTAAGTTTAAAATATTTTTATTATTTAAAAATTAAATAGAATGTTGTAAAAAATAATTTTTATTTTAAAAAAATTGGAAGAATATACAAAAAGTAAAATACTATAATATCAAGCTTCAAATAAAAATAAATAAAATTTTCTAAAATATAATAATTATAATAATAATAGATTACTAGCTAGTAAATAAAAAAATATACAAAGAATTAGTTTTAGTACAATCATCTTATATTGCATATTTAATGTAATGCGTTAGAAATAATATTGTAATGAATAATTAAAGAAATATTGGTTGATAATTAAATTATTAATAGTAGAATAATTTAATATAATTTAATTTTTTTATAGATAATATAAATACATTTCTTTAATATATTAATTTGTATAATTTACCTTCATATTAGAATTGATGAAATTTAGAAATTCAAATAACACATCCTTAAAAAATTTAATGATTCCATATTTAAGGTAGTGTGTGGATGTGTGTGTGTGTGTGTTTTTTTTTTTTTTTTTTTTTTTTTTTTGGATTTTTTTCATCCATCTTTAAAACTATACCTGTGTTGTATATATCCATGCATATATTTAGTTGTTTATCTATCTAACAACTAGTTAAATTCTTTACTTGACTATTCTTATCTCCATCTTTCTTGTGTTCACCGTTTCTTGAGAGGTAGAAGCACATGGTTATATATGATGAAGCGGTATACGTCTATGTATTTCATCTATTCATATGTTTAGAGATCTATAGTATGTCACCTACATTGTACAGCACTTCATTACACCTCGATAACTAATCATAACACTTTACTCCCGAAACAAAACAGCAGATCCCAATTCTTCTAATTTTTGTGTTTACTTTCATGCACTTGACAGGGTGAGGCATTCCTCTGGCGCACCGCTCACGTGACGAGTAGATTTTCAAGCCGAATGGCGACGCTGGAAACATATCCATCGGAGCGAAACGAAGTGGGCAGATGAGTGGTTGATGAGAGATTATGGTGGTGGGGGGTGCTTTTTCACACTCCAGATCCAATCCCAAGCTCAAATGCGCAAATGAGCGCAGGGGCGATGATTCCAAAGCAGGGCTCAGGCTGAGCGTGCTCCCAAAAGTTGTGGCCGCGGATCGAAGTTATCCTCAGATTTTTGATGCCCCCGTGCCAGGCATGACTGAGTGTAAGAGAGTGATGCACAATCTGTACCCTCCATCTCCATCCCCATCTCCATCGCCGCCTCTCCCTTAGAACACCCTTGCCCTGTAAATCTCATCCCCCGTTGTGCATGCTCACACAGGGATGTGAATTCGTTTGGTAGAATTGAATTCACCGCCAGTAAACTCCCCCATTCTAATATGAAGGTAAATTATACAAATTAATATATTAAAGAAATTAATATATAAGGTCTCGGTCGTTAGTTTTCATCGCTCAAGTCAAAAGAGGCGCCGAATGTTTGAATTTGACTATGCCGATGCAGGTAATTTTGCGTCCATTTGCAAGGGTCACTTGGTACCAAAAAGGACTCCCGTTTAGGGGCTGTAATTGATGCAGTATTCTTCACTGCACCCACGACAACAAGATGGAATATTGGGAACCAAGTTGCAGATAAAATCCAGCTTTGAAGCGAGGGATCCAGATTCCAAAAGTGGACGGGAAAGTATCGTAAGGGTGTTGGATAATGACGTTGATTAAAAGGGTATTCTACGAAGAGCTATGTAAGGCCAAATGCTGCGGGAAGAGGGAGTAAATTCAAGCCTCTGTCTACGACGATCTTCCCAAAAGGTCGCTATCCACTTGCGATTGCCGTGTTCGTTAATCCGGCATTCATCCAGGGTTCGTCTCTTTAGAATGCTCTTGTAGGGCCGCTCTGTTTGCTTAGGTCGAGAGCTTCGCTACCTTCGTTTTGATGTTGCTTTCCTCGGATCCCCCGCGACGCACTCGGAGCTGATCGTGCCCCGCGATCCGCTCTTCAATCTCACTGGCCTCTATTTAATCATCACTTGCGTATGCAGGAGGGTCAAAGCCCTCTGCTTGAGCACCCGGAGTCTACTTTGAAGGGAGTAGAGTCTGAAGCAGAGAGGGTCACTGTGCCGTCCCAGGCTGCAGGCTACAGAGGAAATACTCTGTGGTGGAGTTGGTGTAATTGCCGATCTTCTTAATTTGTCGACACTTTTCAGCCAGAGAGAGAGAGAGAGGCTGGGAGTTTTCTTCGTGGAAGAATATTTGGAATTTTGCAGGAGCTGTTGTAGATCAGCAGTAATCTGCAAATTTTCGGAACGGTGGGAGCAGCTGGAGGCCGGAGTTTACGAGGTCGTTGGCAAGCGGTCTAGGAAGGGTGCTTATCCCCTCATTGTGTCATTATCAATCGAGCAAGAATGGCTCTCAAGGCGAACATGACACCCCAGCTTGCGGTCTTCGCTTCTCTTCCCTCTACATTGATTTCTTCGGGGAGCCGATCCATGAAGATGATGCCATTGGGAGGCTTGAGGAAGCCATTGCGGTGCACACGGCGTCGGAGGGCTGGTATAGCGAGAGCATCTGACATGGCTGAGCCCGAGTCAGCTGGAGCTGGTAAATCTCCCCCTTCAACAGCTACCCATCTGTATTAAAATAATCCAAGCTCAACTAGAATTGTTCTCATAATTTTCATCATAATCTCCGCACACCGCTTGGTCTTCAATACTGTTCGTGTGAGTAAATTTTACTTGGATTGTTGTGCAGGTGGCTCTAATGTAGTGGACTCCAACATGATGGTCCTGCGCAAGCGCATCCAGCACATCCGCATCCAAGAGTCGATCTACGACACGCCCGCGGACTGGTCGGAGTGGGAGCGCAATGCATACTCCAGCTACCGTGCCGACGTCTGCCTCTTGCTCAGCACTATGCAAAGCCAGCTGCTGACGATGCGCCCGGGCATGGCCCTGTCCATCGTATCAATCCTCATGGCTGTCCTTCCTGTCATGTCCATCTTATTCGTCTCCGCTGTGGGCACGCAGCTGTGGTCACTCCACTGCTCTTTGCTAGAATTGGGCGCTACGCTTCACCAACTGAACTGACATACTAACCTTCTGTAATTCATCTATACATGGAGAGTAGGGACCGTCACCCATCACTTGTTTATAAGACTCCCTTCTGTCTCTCATACTTATCAAATCTATTTTAGAGTAGTACCCTGAGCGAAGTTTCCAGGGGTAGCAGATTGTGACGAATGACACTTTGAGAGGACACCAATTGGTGTCGAGGTGGGTGTATATTTATATATTAATTCGGACGAGCACGGATGTGTCTGAATATGCCCCTGCAGAGGGCACCAGCGTCTGCAGGTGTGTAGTATGTAAGCATCGGTCACTGGGGCTCACGAGATGATCGAAGACACCGCATTACAGATGACTTCGGCGGTTTGTCTGCGGGAGCTTCGTATCTTGTCAGAACTCCTGAGATGCACAAATTTGACGTAGAATCATAGAGGAAATAGAATAGGGAGCTCCCGTGAAATCATGCACATGCAATGCTGGGAAGTTATAACCACCCATCACTTACTTGATATCTAGCCTACCTATGAGGGACCAAGGCGTGTTTGCATGCCTGCATGTCTGCATCATTGTTTGGATGGTGGGTTGTTTGGTGTTTTCTTACTCGGTCTTATCTGTCTGTTTGATCTTGTACTGTGTTTTCTTTGTCGAGTTGGTCGTCGAGCTGAGTTGAGACAGAAAGCTTTAATTGAAAGGCTCGAGGTGGGGATTGTTACTGATGGTCGTGAATCAGCTGACAGTTTTGCATGTGACTATCACATGGGAGTATATCTATCAAGTGGGAGTCTTACCCTGCCTTTTTAGATGTCAGAAGATATTTATAATGAAAATGAAAACTTATTTTTTAAAAAAATTACAGATAAATTCAATACTCTATGTACACCTTTTTAAAATATATTTCTTTGTATTTTTATTTATTTATTGTTTTGAATACCAAAATGTATACTTTGTACTGATCGGAAATGATAATGTGAGATTCGAAGAACCACTTTTGTCCCAGTAGAGGAAAAAAAATATCTAGACGAAAATGATACGGATAAATCTTGTACAAAATCTAGTTATAATCTTCTTTAAATTTGAGCAATGATCATGTTCTATGCAGAATTTATTTCTCAACCCATAAGTACATCGTCAATAAACACTCAATCGACCGTGCACCACATCTAACAGTTGTAAACAAGCAAGTGTATGAATGCCCAGAAACAATGAAATACGTCAAAATAATTCTTGTAAACATATTTCAATAATGCAAAGAGTAACACAAAAAGTGTAGACAAAGTCAAGATCTTTTTGTTTATTTGGAAGATGTTTCTCAAGCACTATTGTTTTACAACATGATGGAAACGAGATTTGACAGTAGGACTTAATAAGCTGTGTTCACATTTGCGATGGTTTACTGATTCTTTCTTCCTTTCAACTGCCCCTAAATAACCAGTAAATGTATTACAACTATTCACTTAGAATAGAAACTTGAGTTTTGTAAAAACGTTATACTTTTCACGACAGGATAACTTTTTATACAAAGTGCATACCTTGTAGCTATACTAGATGTATTAGCAACCAGCAAGAGAGATCCAATATCTGAAGCTTCCACTCTAACCGAATTTGATTAATTGGGTTAACATAACACTAGTTTCACTCTTGATTCAAACCACGTAGAACCTACAGCGATTTTAGACCCACTGCACAAGGATTGAAGTCCTGGTCCTTCTAGGAAACTCGATGCACATATGCCTTAATAGGAGTAAAAAAGATCTGGATACTTTTATAGCAGTTTACCAGAGCCACCATTTTGTACGCAAATTATCACGTCAACTCTTTAATACAGACGGTGTATGAGGAAAATCGACCAACTCTGATCAAGAAAGAAAGTTGGTAACGAGAGAAATTTACATACTTTTATTTTGAATGTGATCTTATCTAAAAAACTTGGCTGAAAGCTGAAAGAATTTATAGGTATAAAGGAGCATGATGGTTTCGGCAATTTGTTACTGCAAGAAAGACAATATACCCATATAGAAACTTCAAAAAACAAGGAAAAGACAAAATAAAATAGCAGCATGAAAACTTACAGGTGCTTGACAAGTGAGAAGAAAAGATCGGAATTCCGCAGTGTTGCACAAATCAAATGCACCACTCATTTTCAATGAGCTTCCCACCCTGGACAAACAATGTCCGGATAACTACTGGAAAGCATTTCGTTATGCAATATCATTTCATTAGTTTCTTCCAGCCTGAATGACTATTGCTTTCAATTACCTTATAGAAGGGGAAAACTTCAGGACATTAAAAAAAGAAACTGAAATCATGTGAGCACAAGGGAATTTATCAAAATGCATAGCAAGTCTTTGCAAGCTTATTTACTCTTGAAAAGCTCCAGAGTTGGTATGTCTCTGCCCTCAAAAAAGCAAACCCAACCATGCAATTCATAAAAAGACATAAAATCTGAGCATTAATTTTGTTTATTCTCTCTTTTTATGTTCACTGCGAAAGGTATTTTAAGAGGATCTCAATGAAAATCATTTATGGATATTCACAAGCGGCTGAGATAATGATGAAATGAAAGTAGAAAAAGTCAACTTACCCGAACGCACCATCCAACAAGACCTAGCCTGTCCAAGGGGGCTGCCACTGGACCCAGACTATGTCAAACCTGCCCGTTAGCTTCAAACTAGCAAGGACAGTACGTTCCGCCCCCAGTTCCAAAAATCAAATCCGAGCAAAATTCTTCACGTATCCCCAATATATAGTGAGAACAGCAATAGCAGGCCAAATAAGCTAAAGCATTAATTCATCGCAGAATGCCAGTTAACTTCTCCTCGAATCAAATTTGATACATAACGAAAGAATATCATGGTTAAAAATAGAAATCAAGTTAGGATATGACGACAGTCATCTAGATACGGACATTTCACAGAAAAGAGGTTGATAAACGCACCATGAGCCTCAAGATCTGGATATAAGCCAAAAGCATCCTCGTAGGACTGCACACAACGAAGAAGAATTAATCTTAAGTCTTTCCTAAGGTCAGGAATCAAATGACAGCAGATTCAAGATAGACTCAACAGAGGCCAGTTGAATAAACCATTAGTGCTCGGAATAATTACACTCAAGCATTATAAGTGACACTACCTGGCAGCTGAGGATGTGAGATACTGACTTTTCCACGATCATTCCTCTCCAACCATTCAACAGTGAACAGATAGTTGCTACCTTTACATAAACCCAAACAAATCCCTCAGCAGCGTCATGAACATTCTTAAGGATAGAGTGCAACAAAAACACTGAAATGTAGCAAACCGACAACAAAGAGGTCACAAGAAGCAAACAGACCCAGGATAAAGTAGCAGAATCACACATGTCAAATAAGCTAAAGCCATTGCAATAAGGAACCCACCCCACCTGCACAGTAGGTGAACCTCAAATCCCTCTCTGCACAAAGCTGCTCTGAGCAGTAATTGTTGATATAGTAGCAAATCTCAGAATCTATAATAGAAGAAATAATATTATGCTGCCAAAAGGTGCCATGATGATGATGGAGTTAAGTTCGAACAATATCGAATTACTTTACTGACCTGCCATCTGGCTGCTGAGGGTCATGGACAGTGCTGAGAATAGCTTCAGCCTCCACACAAGACAGGTTGTCTCCTAAAATTCGTAAAATGCATTGTGCCAAATAAGTCGATGCCGAGTGGCCCTCATCATAAAAATTGGAGGGGACTGCACACAATACTTTACGTAAATGTTACTGTTCTCTTATTGCCACTGGCTGAGCCGAGAAATAACAAAACACAGTGTAGGGTTACCAAAGTTTATGCAGTCGATAAAGGTTAGAGTAAAAGACTGAATCATGGCTTCCAAAAAGAGAACCCAGCAAAGGGGATGCCAATCCAGTCAACCACAAGGTGTTTCTAATATTTGGTATTAGGACGTACTCCATTCTTGCAGAAAGAAATACCGATAGAAAGCGAGCCTCGAAATCCAAAAACTGGTTGTATCATCAGCAAATTACAGTAAGTAATATGACTGCTTGATCTGCCATCCATGCAACTTGTTGCAAGCAATCATCTAGCAAGTCGATACCCATTTTGTCGCAGAACAGGAATATTGTAGTGTTGCATGCTAGGGGTAGGACCACCTTAAGCACCCAAACTGCATACTAAATGCAGTAAATGTTTCCCATTCATTCTAGTCAGGTGTAACTAGACATAACGTTAGTAACATACTCTTGTTTACAGAGCTGCTTGGATGATCTGCCGCAAGAGGAAGCACCTGAAGTGAACATATCCATTCAATGATATTTACTGCTGGGATCTGCACACAAAACATTTCAGGGACATACATTTGTGATTAGTTACAAATTTCGGAGAAATTGGAAAAGCAAGCCCTACGTTGCTTGTTGAGTGCAAGATGAATCACCCTCGGTTTCTACGCCAAAAGATATGAGAAAGACGATTGCATCTTCGCAGCGTGTAAAGCAACGAATAATTTTCAATTCAGAGGGAACTGTGAGAAAGAAACCCAGGTCCGCAGGAATTTCACGATAATCCCTGCAAAATTGCAACAGATAATGCTAGAAAGGCTGGTCAAGAGGACAATTCATGGGCATCAAGTGCTCGACAAGATTCAGGTTCCCGGCAACAACAGACTGCTTTCATCATCGCCGAACAAACCTAATCAAGGACATTCAAGACACCAGCACAAAGACTGCGACATAGGCAAGAGTGAGGCGGTAAACATCGTTGGATTCGTAGTGGGACGAGAGCTGCTTAAGAAGCAAATCTCGGAAGTGAAACAGATGGGTTCGGTGCGCAAACTCTGTTCTGGCCAGTTTGACTTCCACCAACACTTCAAATCGAACGCACATAACTAAATTCCGTCAATCATTCTCTCTTTGTTTCTCTACGCACAACAACTTCCACCATAACCACGAATACAAACCTTAAAAATATTCTCACTCACAATTTCCTTTCGTGCCGACAAGCTTCAAAATATAATAATCCAAAATGCCCCGGCAATTGTCCACTTAGTAAAAGATAGATATGTGTCCTTATGATAACTAAATTAATCCTTAATCGCTGTTATAGTGGTTCTAGAAGGAATCGATCGCGCCAGTGACGATATCCACCAACCCCAAATGAGCACTTGAGGCTCTTCTCAAGTGCTTCGGCACATTATGCTCATCACCGAAGTCCAACAAGACTCCAGACAATAAGACAAGACAAGCGGCTTTGATGGATTATTCAAAGGCATCAAAGGAATTCCCAAGGCTATGACTTGAAGTCAATGGTGGGGTCAACTTAGAGCTTCGAGAAGGTCTGCACAAGTTCAAATACCCTAGAATAGATTGGCGGTCACCTTTCCGCATTTTAGAAGTCTAGGTTTCCAACTGAACATAAACCTGCATGTCGATGTAAAGATGACCTGTACACCCATCGCTCTAGACCGGTGCACCAAATAGGTCACAATCACAATGCTTGAATTGGTATATAAGTTGGGATTCGCAGTGTAGCATGCGGAGAAACTGAATGATGAGACTCTGTTGTGAGTACTCTGCTAGTAAAATTACTCAGAAGCTTTGTCATTGATTGTCTAAGTCTTCCGATCGTGCTCAACTTGCTCGTGGGAAGTGTCTTTCATGTCCGTGAGAGGGAGGCGATCATTATGACTGAGCCGGTGCATTCATTTGCAGGCATTGAGCTAAACAGGGGTTATTGACATCGGAGGACAGTTGTTGAGGTTAGCGCGCGCTTTTCTTGCAGCATTTGGTAGAGAGATTTTAGGTGGGTGGTGATGGGGGGTTCGTGTTTGACCAGCAACTTTGTGTCTGTAGGAGATGCATTCGAAGGATTGCTGTTGGGTTTCATTGTGATGTAGAATTTTTTCGGTGTAGCGGAGTATTCCAGGTTGTGTGCGGGCAGAGATGCAATCGTCATGGAAGGCAGTGCTGGAGGTGACGAAGACGGCGTTGGCGCAGAATGATCCTCCTCTGGTATGGGGTGCGGATGTAGCCACCTGCATCCATGAGCAAGGCACTGGATTGCCTAGTGTTGAGCTTTCTCCTATTCTATTACGTTGCCTCTTGAGAGGCGCCTCTAATGGCCCGAACTTTGCTACCATGTGGAGCTATATCCAGCACGCCTTGTCCTGTCACATGGTCTCCGCTCTCCACATGATTGCTCTTCTCACAAGCAGGTGCATTTATTATTCTCTCAATCCTTCTTTCTGGGCTTCGCGATCAATTCTCCCTGTTTCACATGCTTTTGAAACACAGGAGTGCATCTGATTTTGCCAAGATATGACGACCTCCTTGTTCGTATTGGTGTCCTGTATAAACTTTGTTGACGATGTGTATCTCCACATACAGGATCATACCAACTCGTCAACAGCAACCTGAAATGTACAAAGTGTATTTGGATCTCACAGGCACCTATGTATTTTCCTTCTCATCCACCAAGCTCATGCCATGTCGAGACAGGTGATAAGCACTTTCTTTCCTCCATTTACACTTCATAAGTGAACTTCTTTATTTAAATGCAGAATGAACAGAAATTTCACAGGTATGTCATTTGGCACAGGGTTGTAAAGGCCGTAGACGAATCCTTACAGTTGTCTAAGTCGCCGGAGGCTCCTATTACGGAAGTAGGGGTAGTGATTGTGCATTTTCTTTTCACCCTGGTGGCGCGACTGGCGGAGGCCGTGTATGAAGATTGGAAATCAAATAAAGGAGTTATGCATGGTCAGATGATGCACCCTGGACATGAAGAGAAGGGTGAAATGGGGATAGAACAGCTGAAGAGGACTAATAGCTTGGCAGCAGTGCACCTTATGGCTAGAATCATGCACAACAAGCGCACTGCAGGAATTCTTCGCATCGCTCGCCGGAATTTGTGAGAAACACGAAACCTATTTTAATCGTTTTATTAGAGTTTGACTAACAATTTAAATGATGACGCTTTTGCAAATTGGTAACGTAACTGGGCTCGGTTGAGCAGGCAAGACCAGTGGGCATTATTTGTGCAAAGGTTGCAAATGGTGGAGTCGTTGACCAATGATCCTTCATCCATGGCACCCAAAGAGACTGTAGAGGCGTTGGGACTATTAGCAAATGCTATTCAACAAGGCCTTCGTCCAGAATGGCGCCCGTCGCAGCTGCCAGTCATCCGATCGTTGCTGCCCACCCACTCTCGGTCTTGGTCCTTCGGCAATGCAGGTACTTTTTTTGCCATGCGTTCTAGGGTTTTCATATTAACTTTAGAATTTTAAGGATTTGTGGTATCACCTTTAAGCTGTCATATGTGGCAGGTGGGCTGGGCCAGAGCTCATTATGGCTTCCATTTGATATTTATATGGAAGCTGCTATGGAGGGACGTCGCCTTTCTACAAGTTCCAATTCAGAGATATTGGCTGGTTAGCTCCTATACCTATACCTTATGCTTGTTTGGTGAGAATGCTTGGTAATCTATTTTTTTCATTATGAGAGTGACATTCATATTCGGGACTGGCTTGCAGATGCGATGAAAGCTATGCAATCCGTACATGCTGCGAATTGGGTGGATTTATTTTTGGGTCTTTGGACAGCAGCTTTGAGATTAGTCAAAAGGGTATGTTTTTATTATAAACCTAACTTGAAGGATGCGATTGAGTATCGTATTTCTTGGTGCCTCAAATTACGAGGAATGGTTTACCAACCTCAATATTATGTAATGTTGTAATGTTGTACAATTTCATTCAAGATACTGCCACTGTAGTATTACACCAGTTACAGGTACCATGAGTTTTGTCAAAGAAAGGAGCAATTTTCTAATATCCATGACTTGTATACATAAGTCTCTGTGACGATTGTTCAGTTAAATTCGGTTCATGGTCGTGTGGTGCAGGATCGTGAATCTTTTGAAGGGCCTAATCCACACGTGGAATCACGCTTGTGTATGCTGTTATCTATTTTACCAATTGCATCGGGCATCGTGATTGAGGAAGAAGAGAAAGGGCAATTACACCCTGAGAATATATCTGGAGATGACAAAGAAAGAAAAGTTGTAGGAGGTCGACGTGCTGCGTTGGAGACATGCCTCAAGGTTCTTGGCCAGTTTGAGTCTCTTTTGATACCTCCAGCCGTTGCAGTTACTGCAGCTAACCAGGTGGCTGCGAAGGTGGCTGCTTTTCTGAGCTCTGGCGTGCAAAATTTGGCTGCAGATGTCAGCAATTCTGGAAAGTCTGCAGGTCTGTTGGTATATATGAAACTGCTGCGTTTTTTGGACAGATCAGCCCTTTCGGGGTATCTTATATTATCCTCCATAGAAGCGTATTGCATACCTTATCATAACGTTTGAGAATTGCTTGTAGGGCTCTTTAAAGCTTCGAATGAGAAACGCGTGATCAAATCATTGTAGTATAATGCGTTGTAATGGGGTGACCAATCTTTTGTACACATGCACCTTAATACTGAGGTCATTTATGCACATTGATCTGGTACGCATCAAACAATCGGTGCTCTTACTCTATATGTGATATTCGGATGTGTGCTTCAGTTGGAAATATGCGGCACTTGATCGTGGATGCGTGTATAGCCAGAGGTTTGATGGACAAAACGGCGTACTTCTGGCTTGGATCCGGAGGTTCGCTTACAAATGTTCCTGCATCTCCTTCCCAACCGTCTCCTTGGTCAGCATTCATGGAGGGAGCTCCCCTCACCGGTTCCTTACGGGCTGCACTAATGTCAAGTCCTGCTGGAAGGTATACTAGATAATAATTGTTTTTGATCAGTTTAACTGCAACGCGCGTTAATGAATAACATGAGAGATCAACTATTTCCATCACATTAATTGCTGAAATTATTATATGCCCAATGCCCTGGATATATATGTTTATCTCCAAGTTGATGTGTAGTTTGCTGGCTCAGGATTATGTGGTATGATTGAAAGTGTTGCAGAGTTGGAAAAGGTCTATAAGACAGCCATTCTTGGTCCCGAAGAGGAAAGGGCAGCAGCAGCGAGCATCCTTTGTGGGGCATCCCTCGTCCGCAGCTGGACAGTACAGGTCTGGCTTTTGTTACTGCTTTAGACTAGGAAATGAGAAAAGTAGTACAAATAATTTTGGCGTTTGCAGTAATAATAGTTGTCGTTGTTGTTAATGTTATTATTATTTCTGGTTGTTTCATCACTATTGCTCTTCCAGTCTTGTAGTGCGAGTCTATGCGTGTAGTTGATGTGCGTGGTATCTACGAGCTAGGTTTCTGCTTTTGAGTCGTGTGTTTCCACAGATATCACTGTCAGACTTTGTAACGGAAGGGTACTTGTGGCAGGAACTTGCAGTGCATTTTGCAGTGCAACTTTTGTCTCCACCGGTTGGTGACAACTGGGGTGGGAACAGTGGTAACGCACTAATTGGCCATGCGCCTATGTTGTATGCTGCACTTCAAGGCATGAATAATGCTGATGCGCTCAATGTACTCTCCTTATTTGGCATGGTACTAAAAGAACCCTACTTTACACTTGTCCTTTCCACTGACTTCCGTAGCGTCTCATTAATGTAGTGATTTTTCAAGCACAGGATAGTCTTCTTTTCTATTGTCCATCTGGAGATTATTACTTCACCAAAGGTTTTTCTTCACTAAAACTCGGAAGAGAACCATGTCAGCACTTTAACCAACTGTTGTGGCCACAGTTCCCAGAAATGGCAGCATCTCTTTTACCCATCTGCGAGGTATTTGGATCGATCACCAACGCAAAGCCGGTCGCAACAAGTAATGGGGAGGAGCTTTCAGCTCATATGGTCTTCACTGTGGCCTTCCTACAACTTGTCAAGTTGTGGAAGTTCCACCGACCTCCTTTGGAACATTGCTTGCTGGGCAGCGGAGCTGGTCTCGGTGCAGACTTGAGCCTTGAGTATCTACTCCAGCTACGTAACATGCAACTGGCCTCTCCAGCCAAGCAGCGCATGCAAGTGCTTGGGTCAACTTACACGTCTCCACCAAATTCTGCAGTCATTACGTTAGACTCTTTCCCGCGGCTTCGGATTTGGTATATGCAGCACCAAGCGTGTATCTCTTCAACAGTCACAGGCTTGGTTCGCAACAACCCTGTGCATTCAGTGGGAGATCGCTTGCTTGCTATGATGTTCAAGAAGGTGAACAAATCAAGCTCCGCTCCTTCAACACCAAATGAGGACGTTGCTGGCAGACCAGTTTTGTGTGCGTGGGATATTATTGCAGCTGCACCAATTGTATTGGAGTATGCACTGACAGCGTGCTCTCATGGCACGCTCCCCCCTCGCGATTTAACCACAGGTATGGTTGCTGCTTATACTACTAAAGTTTGCGAGAAGAGTAGTATGCATTTCTTGAGGTAAGTTGATTTAAATTGTAAGTGGATGTTTATTTGTGCTCAGGACTTCGGGATCTGGTCGATTATCTTCCAGCTACTATTGCGACTATTGTTAGCTACTGCTCCGCAGAGTGCACCAGGGGTCTGTGGAAGTATGCTTCAATGAACGGACAGGACTGGCCCAGCCCTGCCGCTAATCTTCTAAGCATACAAGGCGAGGTGAAGGATATTCTGGCAGCTGCTGGTGTTCACACTTCAAGTCCATCTGGTAATCAATTGCAATGACTGATTACATGGCCATTTTTATTTTGATGGGCTGTTCTTTTAATACACAACAAGCCCTCAGTCTAAGTTCTCTGATGAGTATGCATCTGCTCAAATACGAGCATCCAAAAGAAAAAAGAAAAAAATCTACTTTTGTCTAGGTGCACTTTTTTATTGCTGTTGTTGTACGCCTTGAAGTTATGTGTACTCAACCAGCTGCATATGCAACAGGTACGGGGGGAGGGAATGCGCCCGTGTCAATACCTCTACCGCTTGCAGCTCTTATAGGTTTAACCATCACGTTCAAGCTGGACAAGTTCGGCGACACGGTGCTAAGCGTTGCAGGTCCTGCCCTAGAGAGCTGCTCTGGTGCAGGCCCTTGGTTCAGCATGCAAGTAGTTGCAGCTCTCTGGGCCCAGAAAGTTAAGAGATGGCACGACTATATCGTTTTTGCTGGTTCATGCCACATATTCAAACAAAGCAAGCCCGCCCTCTTGCAACTCCTCAAAAGCTGCTTCGCCGTCACCCTTTCCACCTCAGGAGCTCTCGGTTCCAAGCTCCAATCTCATGGTGGTGTAGGGGCTCTTCTTGGCCACGCAGCATGTTCCCCATACGCTCCAGGAATCCTATACCTCCGATCATACTCTACACTCCATGACATCATGTTTCTAAGCGACGAAACCTTGGTTCTCGTCGCTGAAGCAGTCGGAGAATTAGGAGGTCATGTTACTGAAGGAGAGTTGCTCGGTCATGCAAATCGTCTACGGTGCGTCCAAGGCTCCATGTCCACCTCCATGTCGAGAGTAATCCAAGCTTCCTCTCTAGGAGCCTCTCTGCTATATGTCTCCGGGGGAACCACGCTCGTAACTAAGCTCTTCACTGAGAGCATTCCGACTTGGTTCCTCGCCAACAGTGGCTCCAAAGGCAGCCAAGCACCTGGCGGCTTGATTCTAGAGGGTTATGCTATAGCCCACTTTGCTCTCTTGTCAGGGGCTCTCGCATGGGGTGTCTCTGGCTCTAATGCAGGATTATCTGTAGACTCGGGAGTTCCGGTCTTGATGCGAAGGCACCATGTGCTGGGCTCTCACATGGAGTTTCTGGCATCAGGACTGGGAGGTGATCTGGCGGTGAGCTGTGAGCAAACTCTATGGAGGTCGTATGTGGTGGGGTTTCTGGCGCTAATGGTTACGTGTACGCCTACGTGGATATTGGAGCTCAAAATTGAGACGTTAAGGAAGCTTGCAACAGGGTTGAGGTTTTGGCATGAGCATGACTTGGCTGTGGCTTTGTTGGAGAGAGGGGGGCCGTCGGCTATGGGAGCAGCAGCAGAACTTACTCTAGGTTAGGAGGTGGAAGATTAGTGTAAATCGTATTGTTTTCTTTTGTACAGTATTTTGCACTTGGTTTTCGTTCTTGGTGGTGGTTTTGTGAATGTCTGGGTCATGATATTTGTTTGTATATTACTCCGCTGTGGGTATTTTCCCAATCAATGTAAGAGGTAGTTTGAATAAGAGGCAGATGCCAACTTTAATTTTAGCAGTGTTGCTGACTGAGTACTGAAAACTTAGCAAAAGAGTCCGTGGGAAGTTACATAACTGCAATGAATATGCAAGCTTGGTGGCCACTTGGGTGGTCGGTCTTCCAATGAGACAGTTCTCCACTCTGAACTTTGATGCTGGATAAAGCGTTTTCGAATTGCCATGTTAGGAGATGCAGCACTTAAGAGTAAGTATGTAGAAGGCTAGAAACTAACTCTTTTTGCCTCGGTGCTGATTAGAACTTTCCTCTGATAATGTTATGCCTGTCAATGACAAACAGCTTATGCTTTTGTACACGCGACTGCAACGCATAGACAGAACATGTCATATCCTTAGCATTTTCAATTTTCTCTCTTGGTATTCAGAAGTTTTTTTTTTTTTTTTTTTTTTTTTTTTTTCTTTCTTTTTTCTGTTCTTTCCTAGATACCTTCTATTATCAGAGGAAATTATCTTGAAAGTATCTTTGTGACTGCATATTTGCTTGGTCTGATAAATGAAATGTGTAGGCTGTATTTTAGAGGCCAGTGTTATTTGTAACGACAACGGCTAAAAATTTCAAATCAGTTTACCCGACATAGATACAAGTGAAGAGATTGTAGCACTCGCTAAAGCTGCGAATGCAACCGACTTAATTGTACTGTTTCCAGAGGTGAAAACTCTGACTGGACCCCTCCACCGTAACCACAAGCTCAAAAGTGGTCTCATCTATGTTGTTGTGTAGAGTCCATGGCGTTCAAACAATTGCTTGACGCAGTTTCTGGTGCTCCACAGTGAGCACAATTCTGGAACCCTGATAGTGTTGGCAAGCTCCTCAGCCTCCTGCATGGGGTTGTTTAGAGTTGCTATCACAGGAGTTATCCTTTGCTCAGTCTCCTTCAACATCAGACCCACGTCTCATATTGTCCACTATGAAATGCGCGCAGAAGTTTGGAACTACTACTGGATTGTACGCATTCAAATATTAAGACGTGGAAAATCTGCTTCACCTGTTCGGTTTGCGTTCACCATGACTGACTCAACTAACGCTTTCTCAGCATTCTGAAACCTTTTTGACATTAGTTGTAGAAAATATGTCTTTATCCGCAGACGAGAAATCAAATCCTGAACATTGTCTTCAAACTTCACATCCAAAAGCATGCCGACTCATCTTTTCTTCCAATTGTTCAATGAGGTCTGTAGAAGACAAGGTTAAAGGTCACAATTTTTTATATTATTTTATTTTTTTCAAATTTTAATTGGCTAAAATTGAGAAGCATTATTTGGTTCTCTCTCTCTCTCTCTCTCTCTCTCTCTCTCTAAATATGTATATATATATATATACAATCCAAATTATGTAAGGAGTTTTTTAGTTCTAAATGCTATATTTCATATTTGTATTTACCTAGAAATTAAGAATCCTAAACCAAATAAATAACAACAAAATAAATTATTTGAATTTTATTTCTTTTTTTAAACATCTTGTTTTAATAAATAAAAAAGATGGATTATAATAACTTTTAGACATTCAATACTAGGGTTTGTGCTAATATTGAAGATGTTTTATCATAAAAATATATCAAACTAGTAATTCTCAAATTATAATAAATTGATTTATTGACCAAAAAATATGATATGGCTGGTTTGGATGTCACTTGCAATTTTTAAAATAAGAATTTTATAGTTTTAAATAGTTTTTCAAAATCTATGATATGTGTAATACAATACAAAACATGATTTCTTTTTTTTTACCATAAAATTTAAAATTATGAAAAATTATGAATTCCTACTTGTTTATTAATTACTGCATATGATAAAGATTTAAAAATATTAAAAATGAATAAAAAACCAAAGTCAACTTATTAGTATTGTTATGTACTAGAACTTTATACTAGCTTTTGAATTCTTATTGTATATTAATTTTTCCATATTATTATCTTCTTTTTTTGATTTTTTGATTTTTTGATTTTTTTTTTTTGACTTTGAATTTTGATTTTTTGTGTTTTTATTAACTTTTTGTTACGTACTGCAAATTTTTCCATTATCCAAATATCCTTTCCAGTATGAAAATTATGTACTTCTATATTACAAGTTTTTAGAATTTAGTATCGTAAAACTGATTTTGTGAATACGCAACTGGTACTCATTTATTTATTTATTTATTTATTTATTTCATATCTGTTATTAAAATTATATATATATATATATATATAATTTTTTTGAATTGAGAAATACTAAAATTCATTTAAAGATAAACCAGTAAAAAGAATAAAAAGTGTTGAATAAGAAAACACATGTTTTTTTGTCATTCTAGGCGTAATTTTTAATAAGACTTAAAATAATAACATATTATTAATAAAAAATTGATTGAGATTTCTTACAATTCTCAAAAATGTATTAGAAAACCTTTTAAGATTAATTACTTTTTGGAATAATTAATTATTTCAACATCTTAATACAGTAATGAAACAATGTTTGTTTCATCTTTTTCAATTTCAAATCAAGTTACTAAAAAAATTAAAAAGGAATCTAGTTATTCAAAAATCACCCATAAAGCCAAAAGCCCAAATACATTTTTTTTCACATGCCTCCTTATTTTAATTTTATTTTACCAAAGCTTAAGTTTGTCTTGCGATGCCTCGCAGATGGATGAAGACGGATGAGAGATCGTGGCCCGGAGAAACTCATTCGTTGAGATGAGGGCCCTAAAACCCTAAACCCTTCACATACCTGAAGTCGCCCCATAGACAAGACGCGACACAGACGCGCAGCTAGTTTTTTCGAGGTTGCGAGCTGATTTAGTGTGGAATTTTGCGCTTGAGTTTTGGCATTGTAGAAGAAGCGATGGGCAAAAAGAGGAAGTCGCAGCAGGTCGCCCCCGTGCCCGCTGCTGCGCCTGTAGTGGAGGCCGAACCTCCGCGCAAGCGCACCTTGCTGGGCCTCAAACCCCAGCCCGAAGCCAAGGAGGAGGTCAAGGTGAACGGGTCTAATGGTACGGAGCCCTCTCTGGAGGTCGCGGTCCCGTTTCGAAACAAAGAGAAGACTCTCATTCTCTGCTCTCGACGCATTACGTTCAGGTAAGTTGGGTGACAGCAGCTTTTGTTTCCGTTTCGGATGAACACATGGGTTTTTTTTCAGGGATTTCTTGTGAAATTTCTTTTAGTTTTTATTTTTTATTTTATTTTTGTACTGGGACTGATTAGGAATTTTTTTTGCTTTTCTTTTTTCGTTGCGGGTGTTTTAGGTATAGGCACTTGATGATGGATATTATGGCTCTTCTACCTCATAGTAAGAAGGATGTAAAGGTCCAGGCGAAAGATAACAAAGCCGACACTCTTAATGAGCTTGCAGATTTGAAAAACTGTTCTAGCTGCCTTCTTTTTGAGGTATTTCCCCCTTGATGTTTCTCTTTCTTCTTGAGTAGTCGACTCTGAGATTTGGGGCGCACGTATGAGTATTGACCAAAAGGGTTTGTTTTTCATAATTGTGGTCGGATCGGTTAGAGGTAGTCGCTAACATAGTAGTTGTCTCGTATAATTAAGGTATAATGTTATACATTAGTAATTTGTGGTTACAGTACAGCCAAAAAGAATTTGTGCCATCTTCTCTGGAGCTTTGTAGTATCACAATTACTGGGGATATGAATCATTTAGTTCGGTGCTGAAGCAGCTAAATTGTTCGTTTGGGTGCTGTCTATGTTGCAGTGCAGAAAGAAGAAGGATTTGTACATGTGGCTGTCTAAAACTACTGGTGGACCGTCTGCTAAGTTTTTGCTCAAAGCAGGTACTTTTGGACTTTTAGTATGGTACTGTCAACATTGGTATTTTTCATTTAATTAGATTACAGGAAAATAATGAGCATGAGATACAAGTAAGTCGTGTTGTTTGTGCGAGCAGGACATCTGTGTTGTATTGCAGTGTATCATAAAATCATAATTTACGTGCTTTCACTGGTCTGTTGGTACCACTTGAAACGATTCCAAAGGTCTGAAACAACGTTATATTGGCATATGAATCGGATTTGTTTCAGTCGACTATTCCTTGATTTTGTAGAGGTACGCCTTCCACACATTGGCTGGTTTAATCTTTAACTTGAATGCACCATTAATATTATGCTTGTGTTGAATTACAGTTCATACAACGGAAGAATTAAAGCTGACCGGAAATCATTTGAAAGGGTCTAGGCCTATCTTGTCCTTTTCTAGCGAATTTGACAAGCACCCACATCTACAGCTCCTCAAGGAACTTCTTCAACAGGTAGGATAGATGTGCTTTCATTAAGAGTATCTAGTACATGGATCCTCTCTGTGATTAGCACCTATTTGTACTTGGCGCGCCTGTTTTCTGATTTGATTGTCTTCTAGTTGATGCTTCCAATTGGGATGAAAGCGATGGTTCGGATGTGAAACATTTTCTTAGTTTACTTTTTGGTGATGTTGTGCAGGTTTTCTGCACTCCTAAGGACCATCGGAAATCAAAACCATTCTTTGACCATGTCTTCACATTTTCTTTTCTCGATAATCATATTTGGTTTCGCAATTATCAGGTCAGTGAAGCTATTTATCTTTACATCCTGAAAATATGCTCGCTCAGTTGTACCAAGTTACTTGTTTCGTATGCTGTCCTTGGGTTGCTTGGCTGCATCGAAAGACAATGTAGAGCTGCATTTTCTTTCTCTTTCAGTTTACTTTTGTATTAGAGTTTCCAATAGCTGAGAATGCTCTGTGTTCGCTGGTTTCGGATTATTTGTTAATGATGCATCTTGGTTTGCTTGTATACAGATATCGGTGCCATTTCAAAGTGCTACTAATAAGGTAGACCGGGTTGCCTTAGAGAAGATGACCCTTGTTGAGGTACATTTATCTTAAGTTTTTTGACTTGAAAATATCTCTTGCATTGTCTCTTTGTCGATGTGGGCTGTGTATGGGATGTTGTTGGTTGTTTGCTTCTTTCTTACAAGTTATTTGTACGAACTATTTGTCAGACTGTAACCTCATCCTTATCACAAATTGCACAGGTTGGTCCAAGGTTTGCCATGAACCCTATCAAAATTTTCAGTGCTAGTTTCGGTGGACAGACCCTGTACGAGAATCCATTCTATGTTTCACCAAATGCGGTAATGATAACATTCTTTCGGTTCATTTTCATTTTGAGATGTGAGGTGATTGGTCCTAGTAAGGTAGTTACAATCATTTCGTTATTGCATGGGACGAAATATGTAAGGCTAACAAAGGAATATAACTATTGCTCTCTGACTGATACCTTTTCTTATTTTTGATTTTTTTCATGTTCTTGTTTTTATAGGAACGATCTCTTGAAAAAAGAAAGAAAGCAGGAAAATATCAGAAGAAGGTCAAAGCTAAACAGAGGCGTAAGACTTGGGAATCAGCAAATCAGCTTGAGCCCAGCGAGCTCGCCGATGTTTGGGATGGGGAGGATTGATTTGAGTTTTGTAGTTCACCTAGCGTATCACTTCATTCATTTCTGCCATCATAGCATCTCAGAGGATCTACAACTACCTTACGCTGCAAGGAAACTCAGGAATTCCTTGATGTCAGGTTTTTGGGCACTTGCATATTCATGCTGAGATGGAAACTGACAAGTAAGATTCTCTGTAAGATCTAAGTGTTTTATTTTGACCATGGTAGGCTCAAATAGAGTTTGGATGAGTATTTGTAACTACGTAGTTCTTAAAGGAATCAAATTGGCCATATAAAGATTTGTCACCAGACCGATTTTCCTCAAAGCTAGTCTCGACGAGTAATCTTTCTTACAGTGTACAGCTTACATTATTCTGGATTGTACGTGACACAGTTTACTTTCGAACATGTGGGGTGGTACATATGGGGAAGTTAATTTGAAAACGATAACTCTATTCTCTCGGTCCTGTGAAAAATGAAAAACACTCGAGCATAGCGTATGGAACGAAGACGAAGCATGGTTATATACATGTCGAGGAGACAATGGGATGACATTTGTTACTACCGTTGAAACTCTAGGACCTACAGAGCTTGCTGTCCACGATGGTTTGGAGTTGAGGCCAGTGTCTCAGGTTCCTATTATTCCCTTGATTTCAAGCTTGTCAAAACAATTTGATTTGTTTTCATATTTGGCCTAAGCTTGTGTTGGAGTTGGATAATCTTGGTTTGTTTAGTACGTGTTGGCTCAACCAATTGACGCCTTAGCTCTTTCTTACTTTTTCATTGACTAATTTAACCTAACGTCTTTGAAGTTGAGGTATTTTTTAACATATTATGTTTAGAATTTTGGTTTGTCTAGGAACTTAACTAAAATTTAATAATGTTTTTCTACAATTAGTTTATTGAAGTATTTCTATTGCACAAAGTGCCAATCTATTTCAAAATATTTAGTTTTTTATGAAATATTGATTTTTTTTGAGAATTCAACAGTGCTTTAGTTGTCACATCAAATTTTAATTACTGCATGTTGTACATGTCTAAGTTTGATTTTCAACTGTTATAGATATATTGCCTTGAATGTCTCTTTGGTCAATATTTACTATTCCATCTAACATGATAATATTACCATTAAGTATGAAAAGGTATTATCAAATATTTTGTCATAAAGATTCTTAAAATAATTTGCATTAGCATATTCTTGTAATTTGCAGTTTTCTTCCTTTGGAATATCATTAATTAAAGAAGACATATAACTATATATATATATATTGAGATGCATTATGATAAAATTATTATGAATTGTGTATATATTTATTTATTGACAAATTTGAGAAAAATTACAATTATTATTTTAATAAAATATTACAAGCATTCAAAGATAAATTAAATGTTACAAGAATCTTAAGATGAAATGACACATCATTATATATGTATTTTTTATTTTATTATATATATATATATATATATATATATATATATCTTAATTTTTTTGTAGGCATAGCAATTCCAAAAGTATTATATATAAATTAGTAAATTTGTGGTATTTTGTATTATAGTAGTTTGTTTAGTCTAGTTTGTTTGGCAAAATTAAATAATATTGTCTTCTTTTAACAACTTAAATGCATCAATACTTATAGTAGTAGATCTAGTTATAAAAAAATTATTTACATATAAGATTAATACAATGACAAGTTTTTAATTTCAATAATTTTGTATGTTAAGATTAAAATATAATTTGGTCACATATTAATTGTATCATTGGTGTCTTGTGTTAAAATTTTCAAAAATTTCTCTACATAAATATTTTATTTAAGGTATTTATAAAAATAATAAAATTATAAAATCTATATGATATGCAGTTTATCTACACAAGACAAATAGGTAAGTTATAACTTCCATAGATTTTAAATAAATTAGATAAGAAAATCTCTTTTAAAAAATTATTCTATGTTATTGCCTAAAAAGTTCTAGTGCTCTATCATATTTTATATTTTATTTTTTATTTTTTATGTGGTAGTTGAAGTAGCCAATTCATCTATTCCACAAAGTTGTTTTGTATTCATTTAAGTACTTATTTTTGTGAGACAATAGAACTTTTGAAATAACAAATTAAAAGATTTTATAGAATTATCCATTGCTTCTAAAGAAGTTGCTTGGTTAGCCAAGCCCATCTAAGGTTTTGGCCTTCAAATCACTAAAATTATTTCTATTTCCTACAACAATAAAGACAACATTTGTTTGCAATAAATCTTGATATTAACCTAGAATAAAATATATTAATGTTCATCACTATTTTATAGGAGAAAAATACAATGGAGCAAAATTGTAATCAAACATGTTCCTTCACTACAACAAATTACTAATATTTTCACAAAAGCCTTCAAAAAAAGGCCTTTTCAAAAAACAGAGAGAAAAATAGAATCTTATATTCTACTATAAAGCTCTACATTTCAAATCTCAAAATCTGCACTATTTCACCAATCATTCTTAATTCCTTAGAAAATCACTAAGATCCTTATTTTTTGCAAGTTGTTCTATATCTACTTGTAGATGAAATCAAAATGCTTCAATCAAAGTAACATATTTGTAAATAATTTCTACTATTTTTAATTTTTTTTTCTCTTTAATCATATTATTATTAGTCTCCTTAGCCAACATCCTTTTTCAATCTCCACACATTGCTTGCAATAGGTACAATATTGTTAGAATGTCATCATATGCCTTCAATTCTCTCAATACCTTAGAAATCACAAATTTTGCTGCCAACACCTCTAGTACGTAAATCAAAAACTTGGTTGCTTCTTACAATTCTCTAAACACGTCTAATAGTATCTACTCCTTTGCCATGAACACCATTATTTCTTTTTCAATTTTCTCCTTCAATCCTTTATCTTCATCTTCTTCTCCTACTCTAAAACTGGTCATGTAGAAACTATTACTCACAAAAGTCCATAGACTTCAACAAATTATGTTTGCCACTTTTCCATACTCTAGTAAATATACAATATTAGCACTACAATACACATACATACCCTATCAACCTCAAGAACTGAAACAAGACCAAACTATCTCAAAAATCTAAGATCCTTCTAATTTACAACAACATAAAGCCTCATCACAAAATAAGACAAAAAAAAACTTGAACCAAAAGTGAACAGAATTAAACAGAGTAGGACATGAAAGACAAAACTAAGCAAATGGAAATATAACAAAATCGAATTGAACAAAAAGATGCAAAATCAAATTTTACTAAGAAAAAGGGTCCAAAATCATATCTAATCAAATGCTCCAAAAGGCCCTGGTTAGTCCAATTTATACCTTGTCCTACCACCTTAGACTTTCTAGAATGTTCCTAGGTGGTGGATTCCACCTAGATAACTCCCTTAAACTCCCTTAAACTCTCTTTTTAGAAGATTCTATGATAGACCCCATCTAAATAACCATCCTAAACTCTTTCTAGAATGTTCCATGGTAGATCCTATCTAATCCACTAACCTAAACCCAATTCTAGAAACTTCCATGGTTTTAACTATCTATACAATTATCTTATCTATACCTTGTTATAGTTAATTTCTTTCTAGTAATGCGGAACATCTTCATTTTGCTCCCTATGGTATCTCTGAATTGTCTCTTGGTAATGAGTGAGGTTTTGTGTAAGTTCCCATGTTGCATTGTGAATAGGATAACCTTTCTAAAGAACTTTGTACTGAAGTTGTAAACATCCATTGCCATGACAAAGGTAGTGATGCTCCAAAATACTGTCCATCTTATATTCTTATTGGTCATCAACTACAATTGGTGGTGGTAGTGGTGGTTGGTGTCAATCCGGAAAGTGCTTTGACTCGGTATGAAATTCCTTCAGTTACAAAATATAAAAGACTAGATGGGTCCAAATATGTGGTGGAAGCTTAAGGTGATATACGACATCAAAAATCACTACATAAATGTAAAAAGATCCAAGCCATCGAGGTGTTAATTTATGGATTTGGATTGATGTAGCAAGTGACAAGTTGGCATTAAAGAGTAATATTTGATCACCCTCTCAAAAAAGTCTTGTATTATTGATGGTTATCTGTAAACTGCTTTAGTTGATTCTGTGCTATAAAGAAGTGATGTCGTACCTCTTGTAAGGCCATTGTAAGCTATTGTATAAATTTTGTTGTATAAAGGTCCAATTTGCATGCTTTGTTTGTCCATCTGTTTAAGAATGGAAGGTTGTAGACATGACAAGTCATATACCTAATAGCTTAAACAAAGTTTTTTAAAAACTTTGTGTGAAGCATGGATCCTGATCTGAAGTAATAATATGAAGAAATCCATGGTGACAAAAGATGGTATCAAGAAAGATTCATACAAGCATTGGAGCATCAATATCCAAGCGTACCATGGCTAAGTGAAGTTTCTTTAAGAGTCAATTCACAATGACAAAAATTGAGATATGATTATGAGACAATTACGATAAACACATAATAAAATCTATAGTCATTTACTCTCAACTTGTCGTAGGTAGCAAAATTGGCTGCAATAGTTTAGGAGATGCTATGTTGTATGCTTTGTTATATTGACATGATTTGCAGGAACATATAAAGGTTCAAACATCATAATACAAATCTATCCAAAACCATATCCTTGAAATTTGTTCTAGAATCTTCTCTTATCTTAGATGTTCAAATATTGAGATTTCATGTTCTTCTTAAAATATGCGCGTTTGGATTTTAGCATTGTCGAGTATATAAATTTTCTTTTAAAAATAAAAAAAGCCATCACTAAGAATGTAATCATGATATTATATATTGCCTACCTTCTATAGATCGCTAATCATCTTGAAATAAGTATCCCAATGTATAACTTTCTTCCATTCTATCTCTTTAGTTAGATTTGAAATGACACTATTAATGGTAGGAACTTTTGCCTTGTTTGTCAATTCAACTCTTAAGTATGGTCTCCGCAATAAAATATCTAGCACAATATGTTGTCACCCTTGCTTATATTCAAGCTAGATATCAAAAAGTTGTAATTGTTCTTCTCAACAATGATGCCACAATTTTATATTTTCTAGATGCAAATCATATAGCAAGGATTGATGGTGAGTCCAAACAACCACTAGTTTCTCTAATAGATAGTGTTGCTACATCTTTGTGGTGTGTATAATCGCTAATTGCTCTAGATTATATATAGAGTAATTGTATTCTACTCTTCTGAGCTTGTATGATTCATATGCCATAGGTTGAAGGCCCCTACCAAAATCTTGTTGAAAGACTCATCTAATAGCAAAGTCGAAAGCATTGATATCAAGTGTACAAAGAAGATTAGGATCATATGGTTGCAATATTGGAGTAGTAATGAGTGCTTCCT